AATTTATAGATTGCATTATCTGTTTTTAATCCTTTCCTAAATCCATATTGTTCAGTACTTAAAATATTGTATTTATTGAGATGATCCAAAATTCTTGAGTACATTATAGTTTCAAATATTTTTGAAAAAGATGTTAAAAGTGATATAGGTCTATAATTAGACACATCATATATATCACCATTCTTATATAATGGTTTTATTAATGCATATTTTAATATATCTGGAAATATTCCTCTCCTTCACATTTTATTGCATATATAATTTATAGGTGAACTTATAAATGACGAGCTTATTTTTAAAATCATAGGTGGTATCTCATCATATCCATGTGAATTTTTTAATTTAAGGGACTTTATTATTTTTTCTATTTCTTTGTTCGTACAGCATTTGGAATTAATATTTAGGTATGGATTAGAAAAAGCTTGGTTCATGAAATGAATATAATTTTCATCATCATTAATATCATTTGCAATTACGGGATTATTAATATCTTGTAGTTTTATTTTCTCTGCAATGTTAACAAAATAATTATTAAATTTTTCAGCAATAGTTTGTTGATTATTGAACTTCTTACCATCAATTTTTAGTGTTTTATTTCAACTCTATTTGTATTTCTACCTGCTTCTTTATTTATAATACCCCAAGTAGTTTTAATTTTATTATCAGAATTTAGAATGCATTTATCATACTCCATTCTTTTTGCCTTTTTTATAACTGTAGTCAGTATTTTAGAGTAATTTCTGTAATAAGTTCTAAGAGTAGGATCCTTATTATTCCTTAATTTATTACAGAGTTCTCGTTTATGTTTACAGGACATTAGTATTCCTGGTGTAATCCAAGGATTATTTTTCTGTTTACATTTTATCTGTGTTAAAGGGAAACTGGAATAGTAAATTTTTAAGAAAATATTTAAAAATATGTTAAAACTATTATTAATATCTTTTTCATAAAAAACTAATTCCCATGTTTCCTGACTTAGTTTTAATTGAAAATCTGTTATGGTATCGTTATTTATCATCCGTTTTATATAAGTATGATATCCTTTTCCCTGTTCCTGTGCCTTGTGAAGTGTTAGTACTTGGGTGTCATGATCTGATAGTCCATTTATAGAGGGGTATATCTCATATTTTCCAATACTGGTTGTATCAATGAAAAATTTATCAATTATAGTACATGAGGAGATGTCAACTCTAGTGGGGAATGTTACAATACTAGTAAGTTTATATGATTGTAGGACAGCATCAAGTTGCTTCTTTCTGTTATCATCATTTAAATAATTTACATTTATATCACCACATATAATTATATTGTATCTCTCATGATATAATTTCTGTAGAATCATATCTAATCTTTCCAGGAAATTTGTAAAATTACCCATAGGAGATCTGTAAATAGTTAGTATACAATTTTTTTTTTGTTCCTGGTAAGTTCTTAGTCAGCTGAATTGCACACGCTTCAATGTCCTTGTCTACAGTAAATTCTTCTAAATTTATGGTCTTAAATTTTAAATTTCTATATACAAATATGCTTACACCTCCTTTTTGAAAAGATTTTCTACAATATTTAGCACCTAATGAGTAATCATTTAAATGTATCAGTTGAAGTTCTGAATCTCTAAGAACGATGTTCAGACAAGCACATAATATGTGGTAGATCATGTAGTAAGTGGCAATAAAGTTCGTTAATTTTATTTCTCAATCCTCTAATATTTTGATGGAAGACTTTCAAAAATGTATTTAATATAACCTGACTCGAAATATTAGCTATAGTATTATCAGCTTCACTTACATCAGTACTCATTTGGATCTTTTGAGGAATTACATTATCACTTGGTATGACACTCAAACAGTCTTTTAAGATAACCAGTCGGTTTGTATTATCATTGCCTGTAAATCTATTTTTACTAACTGTATGGTTAACACTTAAATTTGCCATAGCTTGATTGACTCTATATGGACCTTCATCTACCATAAAAAATCCTTTGTCCTTGTTACAGGGATAACTTATTCCAGGGAAGTCAATCTTAAGTGTTAAATTCAATTTTTGTATAGTATACACCAATGCCGCCACGGTGGTCTAGCGGTTAGAACGCTGGCCTTGTAATCCTGGGGTCCCGGGTTCGATTCCCGGCAGTGCCCGAATTTATAACTTGTGTTGGGCAAGGCCGTGGTCTAGGAAGCACGGAGTTTTCCTCCGGGGGCTTCCCCGGTTTCTCCGTGGCATCCCAACAATTACTCCATTCACACACAGAATAAGGCAATGGCAAACCACTTCTGGATCATCTGCCAAGAACGTATATGAACAGGTCCCAGTCCGAGAAAATGATGGAAGGATCCTGTTCATATGGACCTGTCGTCAGACAGAACACTAAATAAATAATATAAAAATACACCAATGAAGACTAGTCTTGAAATTATTGAAAGTTCTCATGATCTTCACATTTTTTCCCTAGCTTGCTGATTAGAAAACCAAGTCACAAAGCCTAATAAGTTTTTAATTTTTATATAATTTTTTTTGTTACTGAAATATTTAATTATGGCAGGCACTGCTAATTGTGCAATATCTTAATATTTTTAACAGCTGCATTCATGCTTACTGTTGTAGGCAATATTCTTTGCTCACATCTCCTATCAACTGTTCATTTTTCACCTTCAAAATCCGCAGCAATTTTTAATTTTGTTTCAAGAGTGGGGACAACACTTGATCTATTAGCTTTCTGTTTTGACTTCACAGACATGGGAATGGAGTTTGTTGCAAAAATAAAGCAAATAAGACAAAATTAGCATATACTGGTTTGAGAACCCCTCACAAGGAGTGTTCCTGGTGGACCAATGTTGCTGACTGATAGGAAGTGACATACATGATATGTGAGACAAATGGTGACATGAGGATGATTACAAGAACCAATGATGGGTACAGAAATAATGGTGTTAAATAGTAGATTATGGATATGAGAAGTGACAATTAGGAAGATGACATGTAGTCGTCTTATGCACATGACGTGGTTGCATTCATGAAAAAGGAATGAGCATAGAAGGGCATAGCAGGTTAAACTAACATGATTTTGTGGCATTCAATTGGCATTTACATATTAAATGGTAAGGTTAGTTTTTAATACTTCACCGTTAACATGAATATTGATTGACTACAGGCATCAAGCAATTAAGTAACATTCATATTTTGAGAACCCATTAGGTTTCAAGAGGCTAATAATTGACCCAGTTAAGAGTCAATTTCATAGAATGGCTAAAACAAGGCATCAGCAGGTGAAAATGAGTTGTAGCCTCTTGTGGTTGTTCCAAGTCCTTCATACTGGTGCCAGGGTAGAAGAAGAAGTCAACACAGCATTGTCAGATAAATGACAGATTACTAATTCTTGATTGCAGGCAAGTGATGGCTGGTACCGGCGTTGGATCAACCGATGGCGGAGGTTTGGATTTTATGAAGATTCCAAAATGAACCAGATGCTTGGAGAGCCATCTGTGAGTTCTTCAGATGATGGAAATTACGTGAATGATGTCTCGGTGACGTCTGCAAACATTAAAGAAAGGATTATTAGTGAGAGTAATGTAGATAAAGTCATTGAAGAGAAAGAAAGAAGCATGTCACAAGATAAAGCAATTGAATTAATAGAAGATAAGAATTGCATGGAGCAGACAGATAAAGAAGAACAGAACCAAACAAAACATTCAGAATCTTCATGTTCTAAAACACTTGCAAATCATAAATATTTTTCAGATATGACAAATGGTGGTGAATCAAGTGACAAACGAAATGGTAAAGCTAGTTGTCAAAGAACCGATTTAATTGAAGTAAATGAACATGTTTCAGATAGTGCTACAAATGTGGAACGTTGCCTTGACAGTGGCTCAGCAGCAATGTTGTCAACTCCAATGCTGGACATTATAGACTACTTACCACCAGAAATAATGCATAACCTTCAGTGTAATTTGCCAAAGAAGTTATCTTACAATAATGAAAATGGGTGTACAAATTCTGCCACTGTAGATAATGTGTTCACAACATCTGATGTGGATGCCAGTATAGACTGCCTGTACTATCCTGCATCCAGTGAACTTTCATTACAGGACCAAGTACTTTCAGATTGTGAGAATGAAACTTTATCAAACATATCTAATTTTCCATTTGAATTGCATCACACTGATTCCTATTCTTTTAGCACTTCCATGACAGCTGAAACAGAAAGATTGAAAGATATAGCTGGTTTCATTTCATCACAGAACAATAGTTCACAAAGTTCATTACATAATTTGGCATTTAGTAATATCCATAACAGTGAAAATGTAATTTCAGCTTGTTCATCAGAGGAAAGTGAAGAAGTTGTTAATTCAGTATTTAAAGATGTGGGTTTGAATGTCAGTGGAAAAGAAGAAAACAGTTGCATTGGCGTGACTGTGAATACACAATCTGATATATTAGCATCAGTGATCAGTCATGATGTATTTGCTCCAGAAGTGATATTAGAGTCTCATACACCTAATGCAGAGCAGATTGAAGATGCAGACAGCAGATATGAGGCAATGGTGTCAAGCTCAAAGAAAAGCAGGAGCTGTGGTGTTTATCAGCGCAAGAAGGGGGAGAGGTACCTACCTCACTTCAAGGTGAAGGTTCTAGCATATGCAGCAAATCACACACTGAGGGAGACAGCCAAGAAGTTTAAAGTGAATGATGGCACAATATCATCTTGGAAGAAAGAAAAGGACTGGAAGAAGCAGTTATCACAGGTTTGTGTTGTATTTGTGCTTATGTATACCATCACATTCCATATATTTCAAGATTTTTGCATCTTGTAGGAATTATTTATCAGATGACACAAGTTATGTGCAGGAACAGTGTCAGTCTTGGTGAGCAAAGTTTGTAGAAATTATAGAATTTAATCAGAAAAGTATTTCTTGTTAACATTTTGTGTATGTGTATGAAAAGTGGAAAGTCCTGCTTAGATATGTTATTTTTCAGCCTTTGTTAATAATGTAAGAGGTGTACATTTTAATGAGAACTCTTCTAGAAAAAAAAAAGTGAGGGGGTACGGTTAAAAGAAGAATAAGAGAATTAGTGGATATTAATATCAGGATGGATCCATAATGTGAGGTTTCAATGTTGGCTGCCATCCATTTATGCTGCTTGAGATCAGAAGTGGGTGCAGGATTGGTATGGATCATTTAAAGGGTAGTCAGAAGAGAAGCACAGTCAAGACAATTTTGAGCATCATACGTTTCGGATGTGTCCTCTGCAATTTTGCATATCTCATTTTCCTTGGTGCTCATGCATTGTATGATTGTTGCTAAGATAAATCACATTGGTCAGTGAGATATTATGTTTCCTTATATTTTGTTAATTATTTGCTGTAACAAAAAATGTTTTACATAACAGATGTAGTTCTTGGTGGGTTATGTGTTTTATTTCAGGTACCAGTTTCTTTAACAGTTTTTGAGAAGTAGGTGGTATATAGATAATGTTTTAAACTGCATTTGAAGTACTGAATCTGATACACTTATCTTGAAATCCCAGTATGTGCTCAAAAGAGTTCTCTTGCATCATGTTTACTAATTAATTTAGACTTGTCTTGCAAGAAGGAGTGATTTTGCTGTGTGCAGTTGTTTTCTAAGACACATTCTTCATTAGTTCTGGAGTCAAAAGTATATGGCAGTAATACTTGGAAGAGGTGGTATTCTAGCAACCAGTTATTGTAACATCCAAAATACTGTATGTTCTTGCTGGATTTTTTAAGTAACTTGCATAAAATTTAAAGCAGTAATGAAAACCAACTTTTTTGTGTCTGATGGTTGTAGTCACATCTGTATATGAGTGCCCTTACCATTTAAGAACATGAAAAGAGAAATCCTTTTTGTGAAAATTATTGTAATCAGGGGGTCATCAGATCCAACTATGTAAGCTTTGAGACTCATATCTTTCAAAATTTGAAGAGTGATGTAACATCTGTGATGCTTTCTGATACCAGTTTATTTATTTTTGAATTGTAGTTTGGGAGATATGATGACAGAGGAATCATACACAAATGTGCATGTTTGCACTTTGTCGTATCTGATATTTTTATAGATGTTATAATTAAGGTGGTCATGTATGGAATTCTTGTAATACTGTACTGAGATAAATTTCAGAATTCTTATTCCTCGTATGGTCAAAATGATGAGAAGAAGAAAATGGAGGTACCATCAGTTTGTCCAGTGGACCAGCAGTTCTTAACCTGGTTGCGTCGGTGTCGGGAGCAAGGACGGGAACTGACTGCAGTAGAGGTGAAGGACAAAGCCAGACAAATGGTCAGCCAGGGCACAGCAGATAGTTGTCACTGGTTCAGATTGTGGGTTAGCAGGTTAGGACTTCTACTGCTAAGTGAAAATAATTACCACCATTTCTTCATTACAGACCTCCCATATTCCAGGCCTCAATATAATATTTTTAGAACTTTGGTGAACTATACTGGAATGAAACAATAATGGTGGTATAGTTTGTACCTCTTATATTCTGGACAGATGGAAAAATTATTTTAATAAACTGCTAAATATTTATGCAACTAATGGATTTATATAGTCCAGAATACAAATCATTAGTTGCAGTACCAATTGTTGATGGACTTTAAATCACTGATAAGAGAACTGAAACATTTTAAGTCTCCAATTATTAGGTTAATTACAACACAACATTGCATTCAGAGATTCATACACTTGCATTTTGTGTTTGGAAACAGGTAGAATTACCATATGAGTAGAAAGAGTTTGTTATTATGCCCCTTTTTAAAATGGAATATAGCTACTATAGTAGTTTACAAGAAGTATATTAATTGCTCTGTCATAATCATACAAACATGAGCTATGGCATAGGCTGTGAGAACTATAAACTTTTCATGGAATACTGTGTTTACTGGAGTTAGTGATACAATTAAGAAGTTGGATTAAAATGTAAAAAATATTTTCAGAAATAAACATTTTTATGATATAACAAGTACATTTAAACAGTGACTTGGTGCTTATGTTACTAGATTTGATGAGGAGCAGGTATATCAAGAAGACTTTGAGAAAATGAAGCGGAAGCAGGAGAGACACATTCAGTACCCTCTTGCATTCAAGTTGGAGGTTGCAATATTTGCAGAACACCATAGTCAGATAGTGACAGCTCGCACATTTAATGTTTCTCGAAAGAGAGTGTTTGAGTGGTTACAGCTGCACAGAACAAAGTTTGCTAAAGGTATGTACTATGAATACCACTCTTATTTTAGTTTACACTGATAACATCATACTCTTATACCATTTGGTAATGTAATGTATGTGAGAGAATATATTTTTAACAAATTTTTGAGGTTTTAATAATATAATTTGTACTTGTAGTTCATGTTGGAGAATATCAGCATTTGACTTGCTAGTCTTCTCTGACCTAGTGCTTTTGAGATATAAATATATTTCAGAATTAGTTGATTCTGATTACCAAATTTTATATGACATTGATGGTATGTTAGTATTACTCTTATTAGAAAAATGTTAGTTGAAATAATTTAAAAAAAAAATTAAATCCGTGGCTTAACAGCTCCAGAGAGCCAAAGCCAACTAGCTTGACTGCTGGCCTCACGTTCACATACCTAAGCAGAGGTGAACGATCATCCAACCAGATATAGGATGACGTGTGGTCAGCACGACGAACCCCCAGCCATTGCTAGCTTTCCTGACCGGATTACGCTACTCATTGTAGCTCCCCAATTTCCTCACAATGCTGGGTTGGCACCGGTCCCATACACTGGTCGAAAGCTCATGAGAAAATTTCTTCTCCCTCGAGACTCGAACCAGCGCGCATTCCGTATCGCTGGTCCAAAGCATGATGTCTCAGACTGCGCGGCTATGGCGCGGGACGTTGAAATAATTTACTTAATATAATAACAATTTTGACAGAAATGTATCACTATCACTAAATACTATAATTGTTGATTTATAATTCTTGCTGCACGTTTAGTGTCACTCTTGTACCATATGACTTGTACTTCTACTAAATCTAAATTATACTTTGCTGTTTCTGTTGTTACTGTTTCCATTTAACCTGCCACTTTGACATTTTAAGTTTATCTGATATTTTCCCCTTGCATAGGTAGTGCCAAAGAATTTACCTATTTTGTTAAATGCTAGTCTTTTGTGGTGAAAGATTGTTAAATACCTTTCCAAACCCCCAAGCTGGAGGAGGGCTCCTTGCTGGCTGTCCACAGCTGCTTATTCATTACATTTGCAGTTATCCTCTATGTCTGAAGGCCATATACTCCTGCAAGTTGAGGATGTACAATGGTAGA